TCAACAAAATACTTCCTGTCTTCTAGATAGGACTTGAACCAGTTTGCACACACAGACACACACACGTTCTACTTTCTACTGATCATTCAAATCACACTCATCTCTAATGTGTACAGACTTTTATTAAAGGTCAGCCACTTCTTTGTCAATGTTTGACTTGCAAACATTTGAAAACCTGTGGAGGATAGAATCTCTGTTTCTCTGTTGGCAAATTCTTCCAATGACTCACAGCAACAGAGAAAAAAAAAACAGGATTTGGTGAGCACACTGTTACATTTGGTGACTGTGCACTCTCTCTCTGGAGGATGAGCGTGTTACTCGAGATGTTTTTCAGAGCTCGGTGAAACGAACCCCTTCAGAGGAGGAGCAGCACCGTGAAGAATTTTGAAAAGCAAACAAATATCTGCATATATCAATAGATTTTCAAAATGTTATAAATTGTATTTTGCAAGAATAGAAATCAGAGTGGTGACACTGTCGGGGGTGAATCTTAACTGCACATACTGCGTCAAGTAATTCAAAGTATTCAGATTACGTTACTCACTTTAAGTAATTTAATGGATTCCGTTACAAACTACATTTTGGGGTATGTAATCTGTAATCTGTAGGGGAATACATTTTAAAAGTAACACTCCCAACACTGAAAATATATAACTTCTTTTACCTGATATAAATAATAGTTTGGTTCTTAGATTGTTTATTTGGATTAAATCTGCACAGTTTCTCAGTCCTGTATGTAGATTTTTAAATTTGTAAGCAGCCATGTTTGTTTTAGACACAAATAGAGCATGCACCTCTCTAATTAGTTAATCCACCTGTCAATCAGAGCCTTTGAAATCAGGGAGACGGGACACAGCTCCAGATCCACTCGTCTTTGTAAAGTTTTTTCAAAGCGTGCGCATCTGACTGGCCTTGTAACTAAATGCCACTAAATAAAACAATAGATGCTGTTGAAATGATATAGTCTTCTGAAATGTCATCAGTATACCGCCACTTTATCATCTCCCTTTTGTCCTGTAATCATTTTGTGATTTCCAGTGTTCTCCTGCTCAGCAACATGCATAATGCTGAAATGGGAGGAATAATCACAGAAAACCATACAAACTCCACACACACACATGAACACAAACTCAGAGACACACAGACAGACAGAGACGGATGCTCTGACCTTCTGCTGTGACTCTTTTATTAAATTTTAGATGTAAAACACATTCTGAGGCCTGGTTCAATATGGTCCATGTTCTTTAAAGACGATACACATTAACATGCAACTGTCATCATTCAGAAAGGCAGGAGTTTGTTAGTCTGATTCATCAGCTGGTTTCACTTCGTAGAAACTCGCAGCATTATTCATTCACTCTATGGTAGGCGGGTACTTTTTTTCATTTAATCAATCGCTGCTATTTGGTCGTGACGTTTGTAATGTGTCGTTAACAAGGGTAACTGGTATATTAAGCTTTTCCCAAATCCCGTAGGAAGAAGGTAAATAACGTCTTTCCTCTTGATAAAATTCACCAAACATTCTCTTTCTCTTTCTGGGTTTAAATCCTTGGTCTCGGGAATCTTTGCCAACACAGAATGTATGGCTCCTCGCTGATTGTCTGGTGCTCGAATTTGCACTTCCGGGGTTTTTGTGAACCGTCTAGCGCAGGGGTGTCCAAACTTTTTTAATCAAGGGCCACATATTTAAACAGACAAAGCAGAGGGCAGATCGAGGGCCATAGACTGGGGCTCAATACAGTGAATAATTGAAATATGTGCATGTTTAACACGTTAGAATGATCCATCCGTCTTTAAATGGTAAATGGTCACATTTTTCTATAGTGCTTTTCCACCTTCAAGGCACTCAAAGCACTTTACAACAAGGAACCACTCACCCATTCACTCACACATTCTATAGCACTTTTCCACCTTCAAGGCACTCAGTGTACACAGACACTGTGGGCAAGGTGGGTTAAGTGTCTTGCCCAAGGACACAATGACAGCATTCATCTGTGGGAGCTGGAATCACACCAGCCAACCTGTGGGTCAGTGGATCTGACCGCTCAACCTGTGATGTTTTTTTTATGTCGAGAACTGGATTCAAACCACCAACCTTCAGATCAGTGGGCAAATGCTCTACCAGCTGAGCTACTGCCGCCTCTTTATTCACGTTAAGATCCTTAAAACCACACACTAAGTATTAAATAATCGCTTTATTATGTGAATGTGTGTGTGAATGTGTGTGTGAATGGGTGAGTGGTTCCTTGTTGTAAAGTGCTTTCAGTGCCTTGAAGGTGGAAAAGCGCTATAGAAAAATGTGACCATTTACCAATTCACCTGGAATCCTGAGGGCCAAGAAAAATGTGTCTGAGGCCCACATTTGGCCCACAGGCTGTAGTTTGAACATGCCTGGTCTAGTGTATTCTGATTCCTGACCTAGTCGCTGGAGAGAAATGAAATTGAGCGGAGGCACTAGGTGGCGCCAGACTGGTCAGAGTTTGTACCACACACTATAAATATAAATGGACATCTCTAACCCGCTATATAGTCTATGGTTTGTACTGTGGCAGAGTGGTTAGCCCTGACTCTCAGTAAGAAGCTTATGGGTTAAACTCTTGATTTTTCTGAGTGGATTTGGGAGTGTCTGATTTTTTTTATCTTGCCTCTGCGACTGATAACCGACAGTGTTGGGAAGTTTACTTTTAAAATGTATTCCCCTACAGATTACAGATTACATACACCAAAATGTAGTTTGTAACAGAATCCAATAAATTACTTAAAGTGAGTAACGTAATCTGAATACTTTGGATTACTTGATTTGCTGTAGAGAAGCAAAGACTCGGATATCTTCACATAAGAAATTTTGTCTGCCAAAAGAAAATAAAAAGCCCAGATTTTACTGAACCAAATTAAAAATATTATTGATAGAAGAGGAGGGAACACGTCCACGTAGCATGATTTAGTCCTGTTAAATCCTGTTTTAGACCTGGTTTAGTTCTGGTTTAGACCTGATTTTAATCCTGGTTTAATCCTGGTTTAGTCTTGGTTTAGACCTGGTTTAGTCCTGGTTTAGACCTGATTTTAATCCTGGTTTAATCCTGGTTTAGTCCTGGTTTAGTCCTGGTTTAGACTTGATGTAGACTTGGTTTGGACCTGGTTTAGTGTCCGGCAATGATTGGAATTACCGAGAAAAAAAAAAGGGATATAGCCCAATATGTGAAAACAGGAAAATACCTCCATGTAATCCATTTATTTCAACAAAGTAACTGTAATCCAATTACCACTCACTGAAACAGTAACTGTAACTGAATACAATTACTCATAATTTGTACTCTGATTACATAACTCCGGTACATGTAATCTGTTACTCCACAACACTGATAACTGATAATTGTTGATAGTAATATTAAGATTTTAAAATCAATCGCAAGAGATGTTATTGCTTTGTCTGGAATGTTTCACCGTATGGAATTAAACCTTTCTATCTTCATGGAGACCAAACCAGACCAAGTTACAGGTCAGATCTGTGGAGAGGCGACTCCGCTCACAGTCAGAATCCCAATTTTTCTAGGTATTTTAGAGGAGTAAAACCACCCGTAATTGAATAAATGTAAGTTAGAGCTGTTTAGAGCAAAGACATATCCATAGAAACAAGAAGATGACCGACACCCAACCAAAAAGTTACACAATGCACCTTTAAAATGGATCTAAATACTCTAAATAGTCTTTTTTTTACTCTTTTTTTTGTTGGTTTGAGGTGTAAACATACAGCTATATTTTTGCCTAATATGTTCTGTGTTTAAAAAGATGTGGTCTGTGCTTGTTCTCCCTGTGAGGAATGAGTATTATGAGAGATACAGTTACTGATAGTTGTGAACAGTCATTTTTTATCCATGCTGTTTTGTTTCGTTTTGTTTTGACGTGAGCTTCGGTAGTAGTGATTAAATACTTGGACGGTGATTATGTCATACTCCCAGATGGGGCAAGAGTTATTTTTCCCCAATTGATTATCGGGTATTTTGTTGCAGCTGATCATTTGTATTTTTGACTAAGCCTTGAACTTGTCATATCACAGCAATGGTCTGAACATTAATCATAGTAACTGACCCCATCTCCATTCAGTGTTACAGGATATATATGGATCTGGTCAAGTGGTAATGGAGGGAAACAGGGGCAGATTTTTTACATTCAAATGTCTCTTATTCAGAAACTAGAGGAACTATTGAAATAAGTAAAGTATCAGAATGTAGGAAAGAGTTAACACTCCAACAGGGTAAAGTTAAACCTGTGATATTCTTTCAAGTTGTTGACAAAAAATGTAAAAACTCATGTCGGTAACGGAGGGAATGAAATATGCAGCACTTTTTGGGCAATAAATACAAACAGTGATAACTAGTGGTTCTCACTTACATATCCTTAACAAACTGGTTTGAATATTTGCTTCATATAGTTTTCTACCATATGGTACAAGATTAGATTGAAAAACCTCTTACATTTTGAGTCATGAGATTTTTTATTAAGAAAGGTCATGGTAACGGAGGGAAAAGTAATGGAGGGAAAACTGTACAAGCAAGTAGAAGTTGCATGATATCACAGGTTTAACTTTACCCTGTTGGAGTGTTAAATCTTTCCTACATTCTGATACTTTACTTATTTCAATAGTCCCTCTAGTCTATTTGAATGTCAAAAATCTGCCCGTTTCCCTCCATTACCACTTGACCGGACCCAACTGTGCTGGACACTCCCTGTTTTCAAGCTTCATCATCTTGTTCTTTTTTACTGAGGTAGTTTTGTTAGAGCTTGGACTTGTGTTTAATTATTCTTTATCTTTTTTATTTTTTTAACCTCTGGCTGTTCAGTTCTTACCTTTGTACCATTTCAAGCTCTTCACTGGACTTACACGACTTCATTTGCAAAAAATAACTGGAAAAACTGGAGTGTCTAAAACTTTTGACCGGTGTATATATGTATTTGTCTATGCTATTTTTGTTATGATTATTATTATTCTCCGATTGCAGGGATCTTTTTGATTTACCTGATCACGTTCTTCATGATCGCGGAGCCCGGTGTGGTGATGTGTGCGTTCCGACGGCTCTTCCTCGGTTTGGGAATGGCCATCACCTACTCCGCCATGTTGACCAAAACCAACCGCATCTACCGCATCTTCGAACAGGGCAAGAGATCCGTGACCCCGCCCAAATTCATCAGCCCCACCTCCCAGCTCGTCATCACCTTCATACTCATATCTGTGCAGGTGAGAGATGAAGTGGCTGAACATTTATTTATTCATTTATTGATTTTTCATGTATTTTTCATGAATTCCAGGGCTGAAATTATCCAAATGATTGTAGTGAATGTGTCTCAAGTCTGTTTTCTGTTTGACAAAATAACAGAATTTGTCTGGTCAGGTACTTTACAAAGGTTTTGGTGCTGTCTTCCTACCGGTGAAGACAGGACGAGAGCGCCATCTACAGTTTGACTTCTTTGGGACAGTATTCCAAGTGTGTGGCAGTCAGTGTTGGGGAGTAACAGATTACATGTACCAGAGTGACGTAATCAGAGTACAAATTATGAGTAACTGTATTCAGTTACAGTTACTGTTTCAGTGAGTGGTAATTGGATTACAGTTACTTGTTTGAAATAAATGGATTACACGGCGTTATTTTCCTGTTTTCACATTTTGGGTTGTATCCCTTTTTTTTTTTCTTTTTCTTCGGTAATTCCACTCATTGCCGGACACTAAACCAGGACTAAACCAGGTCTAAACCAGGTCTAAACTAGGTCTAAACCATGTCTAAACCAGGACTAAAACAGGTCTAAAATGAGGTCTAAACCAGGACTAAAACAGGTCTAAAACCAGGTCTAAACCAGGACTAAACCAGGTTTAAACCAGGACTAAACCAGGACTAAACCAGGTCTAAAACCAGGTCTAAACCAGGTCTAAAACAGGACTAAAACAGGTCTAAACCATGTCTAAACCAGGACTAAAACAGGTCTAAAACCAGGTCTAAACCAAGTCTAAAACCAGGTCTAAACCAGGACTAAACCAGGACTAAACAGCACTGGTACATTTGCATTAATACTTTACCTGTGGGTTTGTTTTAACCAGGTCTAAACCAGGACTAAACCAGGACTAAACCAGGTCTAAACTAGGTCTAAACCAGGTCTAAACCAGGACTAAACCAGGTCTAAAACCAGGTCTAAAACCAGGTCTAAAACCAGGTCTAAACTAGGTCTAAACCAGGTCTAAACCAGGACTAAACCAGGTCTAAACCAGGACTAAACCAGGTCTAAACCAGGTCTAAACCAGGTCTAAACCAGGACTAAACCAGGACTAAACCAGGTCTAAACCAGGTCTCAAACAGGATTTAACAGGACTAAATCATGCAGCGTGGACCGTGTCTCCTCGTCTTCTGTCAATAATATTTTTAATCTGGTTCAGTAAAATCTGGACTTTTCTTTTTTTTTTATCAGACAAAACTTCTTAGGTGAAGATTTCCTCGTCTTTGCTTCTCTACAGCAAATTAAGTAATCCAAAGTATTCAGATTACGTTACTCACTTTAAGTAATTTAATGGATTACGTTACAAACTACATTTTGTGGTATGTAATCTGTAATCTGTAGGGGAATACATTTTAAAAGTAACACTCCCAACACTGGTGACAGTATAAAGGCTCCTTCGTCCTGGTTTGTCGTCCTGTTGAGGCATTGCATGATTTTCTATTGCCTCTATAAGTGTCGATGATTTGTTTTTCTTTTTTTACAATGATTAAAAATTAAGAACAAGGGATTTTTATTTTATATTTTTTTTTTTGCAATGATTTATGTTTTATTGCTCAAGTAATTTTTAAACATGACTGGAATAAAAACCCTGTGATTAAAAAAAAAAAAAAAAACTGCTGGTGAGCTGTCAAAAATGTCATATATGAAAAAACCTCTGACCTTATAGGATATTCTCGCATTATTTATTCAACTTTCAACCACTACCGGTCACTCACAAACACACAAACACACACTACATTCATATAAGCAAGGAGAGTCTTTCCCTGAACTAGATTTTTTCACATTTGGAACAGTTTTGTCTAATAAATGAACCTGTTGTGCACGTCCAGGTGGTGAGCGTGTTCGTGTGGTTCGCCGTGGTCCCTCCTCACACCATCATCGACTACGACGAGCTCCGCCCCCCGAACCCTGACCTCGCCCGCGGGATACTCAAGTGCGACATGTCCGACCTGTCCATCATCTGTTGCCTCAGCTACAGCATCGTTCTCATGGTAACGACTCTATAATGTATTACAGCGTTTTCCCAACCAGAGGTACGGGGACCTGTAATCCAATCCAGTCCACTTTATTTACATGGCACATTTCATAAAACGGTTTACAAAGTGACCCCTAATCCAATCCATTTTATTTATATAGCACATTTCATAAAGTGCTGCATGATACAGATAAAAAAATAATAATAATACAATGGGAATATAAAATAAACCTCTATTTAACTCCACTAGTCCACAGTAAAAAACAGTAAAATCAGTCATTTCAAATAAGAGCAAAAATACCAATAAATAAAAAAGGTAAACAACATAAAAATAAAATAAATTTTAAAAAAGACACAGAGGACGAACCCTGGGACTACCCAAGCATTTATCCGGGGGGTAGTTGGATTGATTTGTAGATTAAAAAGATGAAATTCATAGTTATTTGATTAAAAAGTAATTTATTTTCCTCGTAGTCAAGCGGGTACTCAGAGACAAAGTTCAGGGAGTACTCGATCAGCCCTTTAGATGTGGATTTTTTATTTTTTTTTAAAGATTTTTGCCTCTTATTTTTACTGTTTTTTTTTTTTTTTTTAATAAAGTTTGCTTTCATACCTTTGAGTGTTATTTTTTCATTTTTAAGTCTTGCTCCAGGTGAGGTTCAAACTCACAACCTCAGCATCACTCTGCAGGTTACTGTCTTATAAGTACCGCACGCTGATCGATTGCACCACTGGAGCTACTTGTTCATGAGTATTATCTTTATATGGTGTTTGCATAGAAGAAGCAATAAATCATATATTCTCTGTAATATCTTTTTACATTTTACACATCAATATAATAACATAGATATAGATATAGACAGTGTTGGGGAGTAACAGATTACATGTACCGGAGTTATGTAATCAGAGTACAAATTATGAGTAACTATATTCAGTTACAGTTACTTTTTCAGTGAGTGGTAATTGGATTACAGTTACTTTGTTGAAATAAATGGATTACAGGGCGGTATTTTCCTGT